TTACTGGGAAGATTTTCTAGTTACTTTTTGAAACTACTTTTCTAGGCCTTCTAGAGGCATTTTGTGCAGAAATTTTCAAATGTTAATGCTAATCTCATCAATCCTAAAATGTTTTTCCTAAAGGTAACAAAAAAGAAGTAAAGAAATTTTAAGCAACATAATGAGCCACTAAATTTTCTTCATAACACTAATAGTAAAAAGTCATTAATTACTTCTTGAAAGTTATTCTCTGAAACTCTGCTTTAACACAAGGTGAACAACTTATGCTCTTCCAGATACTGTTGAACCTCAGCTCCCATCAACCCCAGCCAGCAAAGCCAATGTTAAGAAGTCAAGAGAGTTGCAGTTCAATGTCTGTAGAGTCATGCATACCTCTGCCTTACCAACAGTTCGTTATGCAAAAATACATCAGGAAAAGCTTTTTTTCCCCCATCTGGCCATAAATAACAGGAAAAGTGTCACCTGAGAAATCCCTTCATATTAGGCTGCTGTTAAAGGCAGAGGAGCAAAATTTCAGAATCAAATGCACAGTTAGATTCCAAATATTTGAGATTATTCTATCTCTGTGGTATGTTTTAACAAGCATTTCATAAAGTGGGGTGGGGGGGTTCCCCCGCTGTGAAATACCTCTTTCCCTGTGCTGTGCTCGGGGATATCTTTGGCCACCTCCGTATGTATGATCTTCCACCAAGCTGCGATTCAGATCCTCATAACCTTGCCTGAAGTGTAAGTGGAAAGAGAGTGAATAGAAATAAAGACAAAGGAATCTGTTTTGGGGGACTGTCTAAATGTATCTAGGTTCATCAAACCATTCTAGCAATTGCTATTTGGGATAATAACTGACTGTAACAACCATTATTATTATTATTATAAAAATCACATATATCTCAACTTCTTGTTGTATGCCTTCAAGTCATTTCCAACTTATGGTGAACCAATCACAGGGTTTTCTGGAGCTGAGAGTATGTGACTCACACAAGGTTACAACACAGTGGGTGTCCATGGCCAAGCAGGGAATCGAACCCTGATCTCCAGAGTTATGATCCAATGCTCAAACCACTACATCACTTTTGCTCTTTAGAGCAAACCAGAATCTGGACAGGGGTCAAACTACACAAGAAAGGAAGACAACAGCAGGGTAAAGAGTGAAGGCAGGGAGAATGAGTGCAACCACAGAGCAGAGCCGACAGAGGAAATAAACAGGCTTGGTTCATACACAATATGTTTCTGTTATCTGAAAAGCGGGCAAGGTCCAGGGGGCTAATCCCTTAAATTTAGATGAGGAGGCCCATATGGCCTAACTCCATCTAGGTGTCTTTGTTATTGTCGTGGCCCTTCAAGTCACTTCTGACTTATTGTAACCCTAAGGCAAACCTATCACAGAGTTTTCTTGTGGCAAGAGTTCTTCAGAGATGGTGAATACAACTTTCTTGACACCAGTCTTACCTTGAACGTGGGCAGTTGGCATAGCTGCTTTCATAATACTCCGCCCCAGAATTTGGTCTCATAAACGCTGGATGATATGTGGGGTGGTGGTATTCCACTTGGGCATCTGGCTGCAGCCCTGACCAGGGTTCATGGTGATACGTCCACTCAATGTTGTGCCTCGAATAAGGAGGTGGAGGCCATGGGCCCCTCCTGTAGCCCTCGGTCCAGGCTGGATGGCTCCCTCGTGGCCAGGGTTGCTTCGGTGGTGGAACCCAAGGGTCCATCTGGGTCTTCTATAGATGATTTTTCTTTATTTTTTTCTTAGTGTTAAAATTGTTCCAGATTCCTGAAAATAAAAGAGCAACCACAGGTGACAAACTGAAAGGAGAACATCTTCAAAACAAGAGAGACAGACTCCCAGGATTTGTAGCCTTCGTGGTTGTAAAATTAAAGCACTGAGTCAACATTTGTAGAATGTAGAAGTCTCCCATGTAAATAGGAGGAAGACCTATTGGCATATCTTCCTGCCATTTCTTTGTGGACACTGATTAAGTTTCCTTTGGAAAGAGAGAGGACTGGAAACCTAGGTAGTGTGGGGTAACATATGTTCATTTAACAGTACAATCCTAGATATATGTACTCAGACAGGCAAGTAAGCACAGGACTGCAAGTTTAGGTAAGTTATGCAGCCACAGGGCACCCTAGTGCATTGGCGTGTTCTTCTAGCCTTAAAAAACGTATCCGTCTCCAAAAGCAGCATGCTACCCCAAGAGACCCAAATGTAGAACCTCCTTCCTATTTCTTGGGTCACCTTGTCTAGACTATTCCTTTTGGCTTGCTTCCAGGAAGGTGGGTTTAACACATACTGGGGTCTTGGAAAAGGCTTTGCTTCTCTCTCCCCAATATATCATCTGTTGCTGATGGTCTCCAATGGGGCGCAAGCCATTATGCTAACAGAAGAGCAGGAGTGCAAATAAATGCTCCTGCTCCCTGTGCTATTCCTGCTTCTTCTGCCACTTCACTTTTTGTCCCAATATTCCAAATTCTTCAAAGACTTGTCTGAAAGAAATGCACTAGCATTTAATGAAGTGGTGAAAATGCATGCAGATCTACTCTCTTTTTTTAAAACTTTGAACATTTGACACTCTGGGCACATTTTTACATATTTGGTAGAGCACAGACAGCTTTCATCATGATTGAACTCAACGTGTGTAATACACAATAGTGCTATTACTTTTAATAATGGTGATGATTATGGAACGGCCTGCCGGATGAGATCCATCAGATTACAAAGTTAAGCAGCTTTTAAAAAGCTATGAAAACGGATCTCTTCCGGCAGGCCTTTCCTGATTAGCTTCTTAATTAGATCCTGGCCTCAGGAGTAGTGTCTCCTTACCTCTTTCTGCTCTTGCTTGCTCACGGCTTGTATTTGTCTAATTGTTTTAATTAATTTACATGTTTTCTTGAGATTTTATGTTAATTTTTAATATGTGTAGTTTAATACCTTTTTAATGGGGGGAGGGTAGGTCTGTATTTGCTGTAATTTTAACTGTTGTAAGCCACCCTGATTGCTTTAACAGAGGGGTGGGGTATAAATAAATAAATATTATTATTGTTGTTGTTGTTGTTGTTGTTGTTGTTGTTGTTGTTGTTGTGATGAAGAAACACGTCTTCTAACTGCTCACTATACTTTCACTATACTATTTCAGTATCCTGTGCCTTTGTGCCATTGGGCAGAGGGGAAATGTGGTTTCCCCAAGTGGGAAATTTAAGGCTGGAGTGAAATATAACATAACTGGAGGCTACCGAATCATAGCTGGCTCTCTTAACTTCTATACTGCCATTTTCAAAACATACATTTAGGGTTTCAAAACACACTTTTCCAAAAATTCCTCCAAAACCATGTTTTGAGATCATCAAAGTTCTTGGCTAAATTTTTTTAAAAAATCACCCACACATTCCTCTGCCGTCTGCGTCATTCCTGATCTAACAGGTACAATCCTAACATTTTGTGCTGACCTAAATCCAGCTGTTAGTCCCAACCAGATGTACTGAATCAGAGGAACAGATGCAAGGGCTGAATTATCAAATGCCCATCGCTCCAATAATAATAATAATAATAATAATAATAATAATAATAATAATAATAATAAAATTTTATTTATAACCCGCCCCTCTGCTCGGCAATCGGGGCAGCTTACAGCAAGTTAAAAATACAACAATTAAAACATGTGCAAGATCTCTCTACATACTGATTTTACAGACTAACACGGCTATATATCGTTGAATTCTACTTTGCAAAATGATGAAGAGCAGCACAACAACTCCCCACGCCCATTCCAATGGCTCCCCCCTAGTTGGGATTACCAACTGGATTTGTACCAGGAGATTCCACTTGTCTCTTGCAAAACTGTCTAGTGCCCAGATTTAATATCTGCATTGGCTTAAACCCATTTCAACCCACATCTTAGACCAGGCAAAATGACAACCACATTATCAGACACTTGGAAATAAATCCAAAATAAACTGAGTCAACGGAGCAACAAAATTCCCATCCACGTACATGCTCACTCAACTCTCTCCTTGCATGCACAGACCTGCTTAAAAATGAGACCATCATCTTCTCTGTCCCTCCGGGCTCAGCTCTGCACATGCCCCAAAGGCACCTGTCAAAGTCCGCCTGCCACATCAGTGGATACCTGACTGCTTCTCAGCCCTCTTTGGGTCAGCGCTCCTTGCTTTTTTCCTGTGCCAAAGTCCCAGCCTGTGTCGTAACACTGACTGAACAGGGCAAAGGGCTCTTTGCCTGCCGGAGGACAAAATTACCTGTAGCTGTTTGCAAACAGGAGACTGGGTCCTTGACTAAACATACACACATCTGCAACACCCTCCTCCAAAAAAAAAACCCTGAATCAAGACTTCCCGGTATGTTAAAAATTCAGGGACAGTAAAAGCAAAAAGGTGTTGTCCTAAACCAAAACAAAAATACAGTATGGCCAACAGAAAGGTCTAGGGAAAAGTAATGAAGAAGTAATATATAAGAAAGTTTTATTATCTAAAATAGACAGTAAATGTAGAAACAATATACACTGTTTACCCGGATGCCAGAAAACTATTGTTTCTACATTTACCGTAGATTTTTAGATAATACAATTTTCCTATATATTACTTCTTCATTACTTTTCCCTAGACCTTTCTGTTGGCCAAAAAAATGCACGGACCCCAGGATGATGGGCTGTTGGTTTTTTAATGGTGGTGGGGAAGAACTGTTTGCACTGTTTTTCCCCACCACATCTTCAAATGTCTCTGCAACAATGAGGGATACAAACTACTTTTCAAAATGTAGAGAGATCTTGTAGCACCTTT